GGTGTTTTTGGATGTTGTTGGGTAACACATTAAAGGATGTCTTTATTATAAACGTTCCCTCAATGTTACATGATACCAAATTAACAACATTTTCAAAGGAACATTCTGAAATGTTTTCAGGATGTTATTAGGCCTGAGGATGACAGAAAGTGTTTTATAAAATGTTCCCTCAATGTTACATGATAACAAATGAAGAAAATTCTCCAAACGAAACATTCTGAAAATGTTTTCAGATGTGCATGAGCGACTGAGATGACAGAAATTGTTTTCTAAAATGTTCCTTTATTGTGATATGTTAAACAAAGGTGGAACTTTTTGCCTGCAACATTCTAAGGACGTGTTTGGACACATTAAAGATGTTCTTTTATAGGAACATTCCCTCAATTTTACATGATAACCAAAGAAGAACATTTTGAAAGCAACATTTGGATAATGTTTTCAGGAGGTTATTATTTTTTTATAAAATGTTCCTGTGATGCGAAATATTAACAGGGTCATGGTCTACGTCAGATTTATTTGTAGTGCGCTTTAAAAAAAAAACTTGCTGCATTTGTTTGAAAAGGATGTTTAAAAGAAATCTGATATCACCACATTTTCGTTTTTAGAAAAAAACAAGCACGTAATTCATGATATTGCCTGTTTGCGTACTGTAGGCATGTCTGAGTTCCGAGCTAGACATTGTTGGTTCTAAAAACATTCTGAGAATGTTACCATTCATTGTTCTAGGAATGGTTTCATCGAGGAAGTTTTATTTTGGTTCCTAGAATGTACTTCTGAAAGGTAGGATAACGTTCTCTAAAAACATTCTTAAAATGTTTGGTGATAACATTGGTCGAACATTATACCCCAAGTGTTTTTGTTGTTTATGCACATATTGTCATATGGATCGAATAACACTTAGAAAACCAAAGACAGACATATAGAAGAACGGACCGACTATCACTGCCCGTCACTGAAACCCCTGTTAGTGGGTTACAGCCCCCCCACCTGCCCACTGGTCTGCTCTACACGGCTGGGAGCAATCTCCAATCAACCACACCTGCAACCTGCTCATCAGCCACACTATGAAAACCTGCAGCCTGCACTCATTCCCTGCCGGATTGTTGCCGTGAACGGTTTGTTGCATGCCGCTCTAGCTTTTTTTTTCTCCAGCATATTCTTTGACAACTTTGCCTGCTTTTGCCTCACACTCATTTTTGTGTCTCTCCCAGGAGGAATCCAAGGCCTTCCACACTCCCAAGATCAGCCAGGCCTCTCTACCCACCCTGGAACAACTGTTTCCCACTGCCGCCATAACCAACCTCCACTCCCAGCTCCCCTTTTCTAATAAACAAATGTTACTTTCACCAGCTGATTCCGAGTCATCCTTTTACATGGGTTAATAGTCAAATTCCAATAGTTAAGTAAACTATCAAAATCTTCCTAATGACCACAGTGGTCAGTCCACTTACCCAGGAATTTTGAGTTGAACAATCACAGGAATATTATGTCTTTATGTTCTAATAATTTAAATATATTTTAGTAAATTGTTACCACAGAACATTTGCATACTTTTTGTAACATAAACCATGTTATCCTTCTCTAAAATAATAACATTCTGGCAACATAACAAATTTAACTTGCAGCTGAAAATGTTTTAAGAACAGTAGAGCATAATGTTCTAACAGTGTTAGCAAAAACATTTTAAGAATGTTTTTAGAGAACGTTATCCTACCTTTCAGAAGAACATTCTCTGAACCAAAATAAAAGCTTCTGCTGAAAACGTTTTAAGAACAGTAGGGCATAATGCTCTAACAATTTTTTCAAAAACATTTTAAGAAGGTTATCACCAAACATTTTAAGAATGTTTTTAGAGAAGGTTATCCTACCTTTCAAAAGAACGTTCTGGGAACCAAACAAAAACTTCCCGCCAAAAACGTTTTAAGAATAGGAGGGCATAATGTTCTAACACTGTTATCACCAAACATTTTAAGAATGTTTTTAGAGAACGTTATCCTACCTTTCAGAAGAACGTTCTGGGAACCAAACAAAACTTCCCGCTGAAAACCTTCTTAGAACAATGACTGTAACATTCTCAGAATGTTTTTAGAACCAAACATTTCTAGCTGGGTTGTTCAAACAAAAATAGCAGCGGTCTACAAACACAACATTACTTCTCCTGTATGATATTTATGCATGTAACCAAGCTTGTTGTAGTATATGTATGGATACTAGTTTACACTTTAACGTATGACAGAAATGCTCTCACGGTATAAACCCTCACTTACTGTATGGTATTAGCTCAGTTTATCCATGTTTGTATATGTGCATCAGTGTATGATTTAATATTATATAAACAGTATATGCGCATTTGTAGAACATTCCCTAAGGAAGCCCATGTGACCAATTATCACTCGTTGAGTTGGTTTGTCTGTTTTGATCTGGAACGGGTACATTTAGATTAATTATTTTTACCCAATTAACAGACCTAAACAGATGTTACCAGGTTTCACGAGGGAGCACAACTTGTCCACGTCTTAATGAATATGTGTGTGTGTGTGGATCTCTTAGTCCCTCAGCAGTATTAAACAGCAAACGATTGACAGTTTTATTTTTCTAATCCTTTCCTCCTCCTCCTTTCTGCCTTCCACACACGTTGATTCGATTAAAAAATACTGTCTTGATGCCCTTCAACATCATCGAGACAGTAGAAAATAAATTCCGTTTAAAGCAGACTTGCAGCTCTCCATTTGTCTTTCTTCTGTTTCTTTCATATATTTTCTTCTCTTTTGACATGTGATCATTCCCCTTAAAACTTTAAATGTAATGATGTACTGTAAACAGGTTCAGGGTAAGAAGCAGGAAAGTAATAATGAGGGGTAACTCAGATTAACCTGAGGCATGGGAATAGGATTACAAGACTTCACGTTTGAAGGAGATAAGGAAGTCCAATTCCAAATAGAAGTAGCACACCTCCAGGAGCACGTTGTGGCTCAGAGCAGCCGGTTCTCCTTACAACACTTCATTAACTTTTATATCTGTTACAGTGTTTCATTCTTTGAGCAAAAGTGCCCAAAAATGTGTTTAAACTTCTACATATCTACTCCTTTAGTCTTTCTCATTTCTCTCTGGACTCATCCATGCGTTTTCTGTTAGTTTTACCCCTTTCCCCCAGCTCACAGGTGTATCTGATTTATCTCCTCACTTTCCCCACTTACCATAGGTTGGTTGAATGCAGATCTTTTTTATATTTTCATTATTTGCATATAAAACAACATGGTTATAATCTGTGATATCAACATGCTATTGCCGATGAAATATATGATCATATATTCAATATATAAATACAATCAATAAAAAAAAATTGTTTGTTGTTTAAAAAAAAAAAAAAAAC